TCTTCTACTTTCGATGCAGCCTAACTGGCCTCGGATGCCTTTCCTTCGAAGTGCCGAAGACTTCAAGCGTTCGGGTTCGGTTCTCGAGAGCTAGCCCGAGCGTCGTGCAACTCGGATAGGTCTTTGAATAGTGAGATCTTGCCCTGAGACGGCACGAATTCTGAATCCACCGTCATCTTCCAGCTTCCTGTGGCCAGGTGGTACATCTCTGGAAACCTTGGTGGCACATGACGACAAGGCTCCTTGTTTGTCTATTTTTCTTGTTTGGCTGGGGACAAAACCAGGCTATGAAGCGGGGAAGAGGTAAGGGAGACTCGTAATTAAGAGTAGTAAGCCAGGCCCGCTACTTTGGTAAACAACGAGAAGCTTCTGGAAACCAATAGTGACGCAAAAGAACCCTTTGAATGCTAGAACCTTAGGAAAACCTTAATTAGTTTCGTTTTTTGGACTGTGCTTCTGGTTTGATCCACACCCATGTCAAGACATGTCATGTCGGAGCAAGCCAGCTGCATACATGTGGCGGAATCCTATGTATTATTAATTATTAATCTTGTTTTCACCCACTGATCCTGGCCTTGAGGTGGTCATTGTTCTAGCTGAAGAGTTTTAAGCATTGACTCCTGAAAATTGTTGAGACAACCAAATGCTTGAGGCAAGGAGCTTCTCTGGATATGTGTTTAGGGTCACATATCGCAAACCTCGTGCATCTGCGATGTCCAAGGCCTTTTGAAAGATCGCCGACATGAATCCACGCTTCTTGCAGTCCTGGGCTCGATCCACGGCTCTCGGATGCGCCAAAAAGACCACTCTTGTGACACCGGTGTCGAGCCAACGTCGGCTCCGGTGTCAACCACTGCCGGCGTTCAAAGCGAGGCTTCAAGCGGTGTGGGACCGCGATCTCCGAACCGACCAACCCATCGAAGTGGACAAGACCCCCCGAGTTGTAGAGATGGTATGTTTTTTTCACCTTTGTCCACTCCCATGGTTGGAGGGGCAGTAACAATGTTCGCTACGAACGGAACAAAGGGCATCGCTACGAACGGAGCGATCGGACGCTACGAATGGGGCGCTCCTGGCATTACGACTAGAAACAAGGTTCGCTACTATGTAAGTCAAACAGATTACACTCTGACTCACTAACATGGAAGTGGAAAATGGTCCCTTGGAAGACTACTTTCCTTTACAAACCGGGGGTTTTCCACTTCCATGTTAGTGAGTCGGAGTGTAAATCAGTTGCATTGTTAAGTATTTTGTCGGAGTCGGCCCGAGCATCTGAACGGGTGCCGGCCATCCAGATGTGCAAGCAGTCACTCTTCTCGACACATGGTGTAGTCCTGGCAGATGTGCACTTGCTTGGTGTTTTTTCTGTTCGTCCTACGTCTTCCGAAGGCGGCGTGTCTTCTGTGCACGCGGTGGTTCGAAACGGAAGAGAAAGGAAACCATCCCTTGAACCAGAACACATGATGTATATTATGCCAAGGTTCATCTTTTACAAGGATTGAATCCATCTGAAAAAAAGAGAAAACACCGATTCCCGGCGGTCCTTTCATGCCTCCTGCTCTGGTAAGCTGTAAGGAAGCTCAAGATTTTACCCTCCTGACAATCGCGACGAGGCTTGGGCTTGGTCAAGACTCAAAACAACTGCGTTCACCGGCATTTCGCAGAAATATCAAACCACGAATCAAACAATACCTTTCAAAAGCCAAGCGGCTCTAAAAAGGTTACACCTTCCGAAAACTCACAGATTTGACCAAGATTGCGCTTTTCTCACAGACTTGACCAAGAGGTCAGAGGCAACCCACACGAATGAAAGCCTCCCGGAGCCTGCCGGATCACCAAATGGAAGCCTGCTCCGCCAGCCAAGCGTACTCGCCACTCATCCTCTGGGTGACGAGAGTCGCCGAAGATCACCTGCGTAGACCCACAAGGCTCTGACAAACTCACAGTGTCTTGAAACATGTTGAAAGGGAAAAGAACGAATAATGGAGTCAAACATGATGAGAAAGGCTAATCGGTTCCACACCGTAGTCATCTGGTTTTGTTCAGAAAGTCATGATGTGTTCGAAGAGCTCATTTCAGCATACGAGTCACATCAAATCCAATGCTCACAAGGCTCGGAAGCTACACACTTCACACAAGAAATCTATGCTGAAGATTTCAATCCTGAAGGGTGCTGAAGAGGGTCAATCCAGCACTCTATCCGACTGTTGGGAGACTCCAAAGAGCTGTTTGGAGTCATGAGTCATAATGGTATCATGAGGTGACTGTTTTGGAAGGATTCCAAATAGACATGGAGACCCCAAACATCTTCCAGGCACTGCTGCAAATCACCAATCCAAGCCAAGAATACAAGAAAAGAATACAAGAAAATTCAGCCCTTGAATCAATGAGGAATTGAACACAGCAACAGATCCTCCCAACCATCAGTCATATGATGTCACGACTGTGACATGTGGGTCCAAACCGGGACAGGTCGGACACCCACGTGACCCGGGACACGTCCGGGAGGTCAACGGCGCTTTTCTCGGGCTCCCGGGTGCGGGCCTTGTGCAGCTGGAGCACTTCGTGGAGTGCCTCGAGTCCGATCTGAAGAAGGTGCATCGAGGGAAAGGATGGAAAGGAACGTTCAATCAGTCCATTGAGCGTGGTCCTTGGAGTTACAAAGACATATATTATATATACAACATCATTATATAGATTCATATTATAGAGAATATGTTGTATAGCTTGCTACCACTACCAACAACTTCCGAGCCTCATCTCCTGCGATCTCCACCGAATCCATGCAGCCGCGTGCACATCCCTCTGATCCACCAACGGCTCCGAAGCGGCGACAGGAGAACCATGTTAGGGCTCCGGACTCCTTTGTGCTTATTTACGAGTAGAAGTGCTTTTAACTACCCAACTGGCCCATTCTCAAAAAACCTCACCTTTGGGTAATCTTCTGCTCAAAACTGTGGCGGTCATATCTACCACCGAAACCCTCACACCGGGCTCCCAGGCGCGTGGCCGGGCGCCGGTCGCGCCACGCGCCGCTGGGCGCGGGCCGCGTGAGCGCCGCCGCGTGACGGCGGAGCGGCGGAGCGGCGATGGAAGCGGCGATGGACGGCTCCATCGGATCTGCAGGGATTGTGACAGAAAAGAGGGAGGTATTGATTGACATGAAAATATGATGAAAGAGTGAGCTGGGAATAAAAGCAACCGTCTTGACAAGGAGCTGACATGTCTTGCATGGTGTTACGGCATGCTGGACCGTTTTCAGCATGAGATCAGATTTCTTGTTGGACCGATGGCTTCTGGACCGGCCGAAGGTTTGAGCTGCAAACGCTTTGGAACAAAAAACAAAGCTGCCTTTTGGTGGACAAAGCGCTGCAAAGCAGAAAACATTTCCAAGTAGAAAGCGCTGAAGAAATCAAAAGGCACTCCCGGTCCTGATACTCTGATTGGAGACGACAGGCCTGGCCACAACCGGCCCACACGTGGACGAAATGAAACTCCGCCGAAAGGGCTGTGGGGCGCAAAAGAAGACCCCCTTCCGTCTTCCGTCATATCACCATGTCTCCCCTCTCCCCTCGCTCAAGTCTTCCAGCAATTGCTCGAGACCAGGGTGACTCATTGCTCTTTGTTCGACGAAGGAATGGTAAAGGGAATCGCTACTAGGAACAAGAAGCTACTAGGTTGGAGGCCATCGCTCTTAGGGTGGAGGCCATCCCCACACGCGCGCACAGCGCACGTCGCGCGGTTCTGCCTGAGCATGTTCAGTCTGCCAGTGCTCGACCGCTTTCTGCAGCGCTGTGTTCTCCTGTTCCCTGGATTCGGCAATGCTCTTCGCTTTCTCAGCTACCTCCACAGCTTCTCCATGTTGTGCTTGCCAGGTGCTGGCAACCTGCTGAAGCTGGAGTGTTTGTTGGTTGGACTCCCTCTCGAAAGATTCTTTTAGACTACGCTCTGTTTCCAGTGCATCTTGCAACTGCTGAATGGTTGCATTCAGTTCTTCTGCTTTCGATGCAGCCTGACTGGCCTCGGATGCCTTTCCTTCTTGAAGTGCAGAACATTCCGAGCGCGCTTTCTCAAGCAGTGAGTTGAGCTCTGCAATTTCCTCCTTTGCCTTGGCTTCTGCTGCTTCGCCTCCTTTCACTGCTGCTGCGTGCAAATCTTGAAGCGTTGCAATTTCCTTTTGAAGCTCCTCTGCCCTTGCTGCTGCATGGGTTTCTTGCTCCTGTCGTGATCTAGTCTCTGCAGCCAGTGCATCTTGCAACTGCTGAATGGTTGCATTCAGTTCTTCTGCTTTCGATGCAGCCTGACTGGCCTCGGATGCCTTTCCTTCTTGAAGTGCAGAACATTCGGAGCGCGCTCTCTCAAGCAGTGAGTTGAGCTCTGCCATTTCCTCCTTTGCCTTGGCTTCTGTTGCTTCGCCTCCTTTCACTGCTGCTGCGTGCAAATCTTGAAGCCTTTCAATTTCCTTTCGAAGCTCCGCTGCCCTTGCTGCTGCATCGGTTTCTTGTTCCTGTCGTGATCTAGTCTCTGCAGCCAAAGCATCTTGCAACTGCTGAATGGTTGCGTTCAGCTCTTCTGCTTTCGATGCAGCCTGACTGGCCTCGGATGCTTTTCCTTCTTGAAGTGCAGAACATTCCGAGCGAGCTTTCTCAAGCAGTGAGTTGAGCTCTGCAATTTCCTCCTTTGCCTTGGCTTCTGTTGCTTCGCCTCCATTCACTGCAGCTGCATGCAAATCTTGAAGCGTTTCAATTTCCCTTTGAAGCTCCGCTGCCCTTGCTGCTGCATGGGTTTCTTGCTCCTGTCGTGATCTAGTCTCTGCAGCCAGTGCATCTT